TTCTGACAAGTAGTGTCCGTTTCGGTTTAACGCAGAAGTGTTTACAAAAAATAACTATTTTATTTTGAAGATTTTCTTGCAGTACAGTGGCGAAATACCCATATATGATTTTTTTGGAGAGATGAATCCGCCACATAGGTATAGATTTTTTAATGATATTTACAACACTGGAGAAATACCAGAAGATTGACTATATTGATTGGAATTATTATTAATATTGACATATTGATAAGTCTAATGAGCCACACACTAAAAGCGTAGTGTTTACCTATATTCCGACAAAGTCATTAAAGAGGCTTTATATGAAAAAGAATTTGGGGTCAAAATAAACACCATTCGGTATGCTGACGATACGGCACATTTTTTAATAATATTTACACGGGAGAAATACCAAGAGATTGACTATATTGATCGGAATTATTATAAATATTGACATATTGATAAGTCAACAGGTCTATTGATAAGTCTAATGAGCAACACACTAAAAGTGTTTACCTATATTCCGACGAAGTCTTTAAAGAAGCTTTATATGAAAAAGAATTTGGGGTCAAAATCAACGGTGAACTGATTATAGCGATTGTGTCCATTCGCTATGCTGACAATACGGCTATTTTGTGCGATAATCTCTTGGATCTCCAAAATCTCATAGATTCTGTTAATGCAATGGGACAGGAAATGAGACTGAATATAAATGTTTCTAAAACAGAGTTCATGGTCTTCAGTCCCTAGCCATAACTTAACGCGTCGCTACAGATAAATGATTACAGTTGAGGGTTAGAACCTTTGGTGTTACACAGCAAAATAAAAACACTAAATCACCACAACACTAATACTGGACGCGCGTTTCGCTAACCATGTTAGCATCATCAGCAGATGATTATAAAGCTGAGTTTATAATCATCTGCTGATGATGCTAACATGGTTAGCGAAACGCGCGTCCAGTGTAAAAGTAAAAGTGTTTTGGTGTATTGTGGTGATTTAGTGTTTTATTTTACAAATAAATGGACAAAACGTTGTGAAAGTATCCAATGTTAAATACCTTGGATTACATCACCGAGCAACTTGACCGGGATAGGGAAATTAGATGTAGGATAGAATCGGCCCGTACAATATTCCAGAAGATGAGATCCAGGATGATTAAATGTTGCTTCTGGTCTGTGCTGTTATACGAGGCTGAAATCTGGACACACAAAGCTGCCACAATCAACCGTCCGGAAGCATTTGAAATGTGATTATATAGACGAATGATAAGTTACAGTTTACAATTGAAAGAATGATAAGTTACAGTAATAACAGTTAAATGCCGAAAGCTGTCATCCCTCAGCCATGTTGTTAGAGGAAATCGTTACCGGATTCTACAACTTATAATGAAGGGCAAAATAGAGGACCGCAGGGGTGTAAGAAGAAAACAAATCTCCTGGTCAAGGAACATCCGGGAATGGACAGGTATACATAGCGCCGAACAATTGTTTAGAGTGGCTGAAAACCGGGATCAGCTCGCCATCGTGATTGCCAATGTGAGGGGGACCTGACGAGGCACAGTAAGAAGAGAAGAATACTACATTTCTTCTTATTTAAATAGCTTTAATTATATTATATTTTTCTATAAATTTTTCATTTTTGCAATCTACCATTTCAACATAATTTTTCTTTCTGTCTACTTTTTTTCTACTTTTCATCATAGCCACTTAAATTTCACAATATTAATTCAACTAGGTATCATACTGATTTAATATAGTAATTTATTTTTACAAACTACAACTGTATTTTCTTATGTATGTTGCCTGGCGCCCAACATTTTTAGTTTTATGGTGAATTCATACTTTGAGTATTAGTCCAAACCTTACCCTTAACATTAACCCTACAAAATTAACCTTAAGAACTTAAGCAAATGCTGTTCATATTTCTCCTATTTGTCTTAGGGTGGCTGCAACGGCGTCCCGTCATCCTGCTGTTAAAACATGACAGTTGGTTTTCATATATAAAAACTCATTGTTTTCTTTTAAGCGCAGGATTATGGGACGTCGTTGTTGCTTGCAGGGGGTGACAGTGAAATAGGAAAATTGGCAACAGTCATTAGTATCATTCCTGTCATTCTCCTCACGACAAGTATGGCCGCCTAGACAAGGACAGCAATGTTTCTGTCTAACTATTGTCTAACTTCACAGTTTAGAATTGACAGATTTCAGGGACAACTTCAGATTTGTTCTAGAACAAATTTCGACGCCATTTTAATTCTCTCCGTTTAGTTTTATTTAGTAAATTCAATTTGATATTTCGGCAGAAATTTATAAATATAAAGGTAATAAAGCATATAATATATATATATTATATGAAAAATCCTGGAGAAAAAGACATTTCTGTAGTACTAGGTATGTCCCATGTATATTAAAAATAGGTAGTAAATAAACACTATTTCTGTATTCTTTAGATGCAAGAAAATTTTGTTATGTTTATGATCGGCGATGTTTTTAAAAATGGAAACAATTTACAGCAATGTAGGATCATTTTTAACTATAGCCAACATTAGTTATCTCCAGTATATGCGATTTATTGTCAATAATACAATAAATCTGACTGATACAATCTGATTTATATCCAACCAAGTCTTTTTTTGCTTCTTTTTGATTTATAAACCAGGTCTATTTGGGAATAATGGACGCTTTTTTTAAACAGTTTATTTATATTTTACACCTATTGATATTTTTACATTGTTAATTTAAGTATAAAAAAAATTGTTTTTCTGTTTTCGGGGTTTTGTATAAGGCTCCCGTTTTCATGTTCCTGCCCCCGTTTTCTGTCCCTGATGGCTGTGAATACGTGTAGTTATTTACAAATTACTGTAAGTCATGCTTATACCTTACTAATTTATGTTAAAATTGCACATAATTAAGTAACTGCTGTAGAAATCATTCAATTCTTTATTTTTTATATTTATTTAGTCTCATATTTCAAATAAATAATAGGAAAGTCGGAAAGCAGTGATATATATTTATGTTTGAATAAAATTTTGTTTTGTTTTATTTATGATAAGAAAGAATACAAAATACATTTAAACTGAAAGAGGTCCCGCCATTGAATAACCGGAAATGAAAATGAAGCCATCATGTCAACCAGTCAATTGGCAAATTAGTTCTCCAGACGACAACGAAGGCTTTCGGTGGCGTATCGTGTTTCCATGATTTAACACAGAGTTGACACTTCTTTCTAGTTAATTATTTTATGGTTGCTTGCGCACATATAAAACATATGTTAACCTAACTTTACAAATATTTTTAGAATTTCGAATACTAGAGAGACTAATTTTTATTAATATTCTCTAGACCAAAAATGAATGATTTATTAGCAATTATAAGATGTCAAGTTCAACATGTTAAGTATTATTTCGAAAATTATTAACCCCTGGTTTTGAGCATGCGCAAATAAATGTTGAGTTAGCATTAGCCCTAAGTGTGGTAATTAGTTTAGTTATTAATTAATATTATACTGCTAGGATTAAGAAGGAAGCATGAACCCATCATTAGTGTAATCATTGTCTATTTCTAGGGAAATATTGACGAACCTATTACCCAGTTCTCTGAACAACACCACTGCCGTAAGCAATGAGTGATTATAACAAAAGACTTTAAACTGTTGTATTCTATACATTTCTTCTTTTTTTCTGTATAATAGTAGTCCTTGTAGGCCGTGAATAATTAAACATATATTGACTCAAGGTTTATTTTTAAACTGTTATACTTTTTTACTTTTATCTCACTGTAAAAATGTCATAGGGGTTTATTTCTGTCCAAATACATTGATTAATATTTGATATATTGACCAAGTGCATTAATCTGTGTTGTGTTTAATGCTAAATATGCACTACTATTATAGAACAGAGCTGGGTATTAAGAGTCTATTTCACTAGTACGAAAGAGTAGTAAAATAAGCGTTCGGCATTTAACGTTTTATGTAAAACTGGCTAGGTATTTTTACACAAATGAAGAAGGAAATTAATGATAAAGAATTATACTATATCCGTATTGTAGGACATTTTTAGACAACTTCTTTATTTTTAGGATTTTGATGGTCAAATGTCAGCAAAATATTTCTTATGTTTGGACTAAATTTTCTCGAAAATAAAGACATAATTTAGCTGGGTATTAAGAGTCTATTTCACTAGTACGAAAGAGTAGTAAAATAAGCGTTCGACATTTAACGTTTTATGTAAAACTGGCTAGGTATTTTTACACAAATGAAGAAGGAAATTAATGATAAAGAATTATACTATATCCGTATTGTAGGACATTTTTAGACAACTTCTTTATTTTTAGGATTTTGATGGTCAAATGTCAGCAAAATATTTCTTATGTTTGGACTAAATTTTCTCGAAAATAAAGACATAATTTAGCTGGGTATTAAGAGTCTATTTCACTAGTACGAAAGAGTAGTAAAATAAGCGTTCGGCATTTAACGTTTTATGTAAAACTGGCTAGGTATTTTTACACAAATGAAGAAGGAAATTAATGATAAAGAATTATACTATATCCGTATTGTAGGACATTTTTAGACAACTTCTTTATTTTTAGGATTTTGATGGTCAAATGTCAGCAAAATATTTCTTATGTTTGGACTAAATTTTCTCGAAAATAAAGACATAATTTAAAATTCCGTTATAATACGGAAATAGATTGAAGTTTTGTGATTACAGTGATGTATAATTTATATTATTTTGTAATAAACTGCTCGCTATTTTATGGCAAATGCTGAAGCTCTGCAAACCTTAAAAAAACCTTCAAAAATCAAAGCACGTGTGTTTGGAATTTTGGGCGTGGCTTAACACGACAGGGTCGGGCTAAGTTTTAGGCAGATTTCTGAAATATAACATATATTTCCTTCGGCCACACACCCGCTTTACCCGACCCCGGAGAGCGAACCGAAGGTAAAGCTTAATAGACTCTTAAAGAAAAATGCAGGTGAAATGAGACAAATATTATTCTATTAAATTTGTTATTACTCACACGACTGAACTTATATTTCCAATGACTCTTTTCTCTCATAAAGGCACCTACCATAAAGCCGGTAAAATATACATTCAATCTGGAGTGCGAATCATAGAGGCTGGAATACAAAGAATATTTTTTAAAGAATAATAATTAGTGTAATCCTAAAATAATCTACAGGGTTATTCACTTCATTCGACACGGAGCGGAGTACTGTAGCCACACGATTAGATTTTTAGAAATTGTGAATGATGGGATCATTGGAGGACTATTAAAGCTACAATTTAAAATTATTTTCAAAAAGTACCAAGTAAATATATCTACCTCCATTATTTCCGCCCAAATATTAATTAGTTACATACTTAATTGTGTTAGTTAATAAATTGTTCTAAATAAATGTGGATTTACACCAGAAAGCAATATGATAACGTATGTATATGTTACGCTCAATAGTCGAATTCGGCCAATGCCCGAAAAAAATACGCAAATCTAGTTTTGAACAAGGGATATTTCCCAAACCCGAAAATCCAACTAACCAATGAATTAACACCCTCCAAATAACCACGCTAACCAACTCGCCAAATAACTAAACCAATCCAACCAAAAAGAGTGAAACCAGTGCAATCAAATCACACTATAACCAAAAAAAATAATCGAATAAAATTAATTTTTCGGGTTTGGGAAATATTCCTTGCTCAAAACTAGATTTGCGTATTTTTCTCGGGCATTGTCCGAATTCGACTATTGAGCGTAATATAATGTACATACATATACTAAGGGCTGGCAAAGGTTAGTCTTGGGTCGAGATTTCCGTATGTAAGAAGAGTACACTGCGTTTATAATGTACAGAACAAAGAGAGGACAGTAAACACGTTGCCAAACGTATGAAATAAACCGAGAAACTGTGCACATCGCTAAGAGACGTGGAAGGGGATATAGCAGATTTGTCGCAGTTGACCGGTCGACCCAATCAATACCTCTGTCAGTACTTAAAGTTCTAGGGAAAGGTGTACGTCATGCGTTCAGCTTCACGATTTAATTACGTCTCGTGATACTTAATTTGTTTATTTATTAACGAGTTGTAATTTTCCCTATAGCTTGAATTTTTTTGTGCAAGCTAGAAACACTTACATTTTTGGTAAAAATAAGTGGAATTGAGTGGGTGTTCTATAGTGGTCGCCCTATTAGAACTCTTAGAATTCAAAAATCGATATCTCGAAATCTATTAGAAATAATAGATTGTAGTTTTTTCAAAAACTTTGTTAATATTTCTGCTGTATTTTCTTTGTAGACAGTATGTGAAAATCTTTATCAATAAAAAAATTACACGATTGCTGAAAATTGCTATGCTCTAAAAGTAAATGGATGTATTGTTTACAATTTTTGAATGGAAAAAACAACCTTATCGAATTTTTCTTATGTAAACATATTGTAAAATATCCGATCTTGAAAATAAAAAAAAAAGTTTCAATATCTGAAGTGGTTCTTGAGTAATGGTCTGTTATGTGTTAAAAAGTTGAGTTTTTAAATTATCGCGATTACTTACGTTTTCTCGTTATAAAAAAAATGACACCCTAACGATATCCTTATTTCCATTTCAGATGCTCAGAAATATGTCTACCGATTTTATCTAGTTATCTATTGAACAAAAAGTCTTTTAAAAATAAGCGGTTTGCGATCGTGATTTTACTTTACTTGATAGGGAAAGGCGTATCGGCAACGCCGCAGCAGCACACCGTCGCGCGTCGCGTCGGCCTGTCGCATTTCTCTCACTCCGACTTAATAAGGTCCCTATGCGATTTACTTCCACACATGTAAATGCCGACGCAAAAGTAACAGTTGCCAGCACGGTATACGTAATTATAAGTTATGAATGTGAACGTCTCTGTTGTTATAAATAAGCATTCATTAAAAAATGAAATAAAATTTTTAAGGTATAAATTTTTACCACACTGTCTAATATACATACAAAATTCAGTTTTATTTAGCCTATTTGGAGCAATTATTAATCAACGTAAATAATTAATGGAGATCGAATTCTATTAATTGGCCCTTATTAATAGTACCTACCTGATTAATTGGACATATTAATTGATAATTATAAGAAAATGCATTTTCTACGAACATTTGAAGATATAGGTAAAAAATTGTATAATATAATTTGATAGACAATTAAATTGTGCATTTGATTCTCGTAAAATATAGAGAGTGTTCCATTTAAATTAAACAAGCTATTGCCGATTAAAGCTAGTAATTATTTAAAATGAATTTTTAGACACTCTGCGGATAAAGTATCATTTTTATTATTGCAACACAAAATTCATGTTTTAGTTTTAAAACAAAACAAAATTTAGTAAATAGAAAAACTTCAGTACAATATTTAGTTTGAAAAACTTAAATACGCCTAGAGAAATGAAGCATTAAAATTATTACTGTATTTTCACAAAAATGTAAATATTTCAAAACGGTAAGATTAAAGTAAGGCATACCTTAATTAAATTTACCTTTATTTTAATCGTAGAAACTAAAAATGTAATAATATACAGGGTGTTCCATTTAAAAAAATACAACTTTGATATTTTAAATTTATTTAGGACACTCTGTACCTTTTGAATTGGGGGCTATCTATAAATATAAATAAAACTAAATATATGGTTGTGAGTAGATGTCGGCAAGACCTCATTATTGTTGAATGAAGAAGCGTTGGAGAGAGTGGCTAAGTACTCTCTCTGGCCTAACCTAACCTAGGCAGCTGGATTAATCAACATATCGATCCCTCATACGAAATCCGATGTCGCGCAGAACAAGCAAGAAATGCATTTCAGAAGTTTAAGTAGCTGCTCTCAAATAACTTGCTAAACATCAAATTACTGGAGAAGTTTACAAAGTGTTTTGTGTGGTCGAATCTTTTAGTATTGAAAATACTTCTGGCCGCGTTTATATGGGACCCATCTTTGAAAAAACGACATGCTAGAAGCAACATGGGTTCAATAACCTGCCTGTCAACACATACTTATGTCGATAGAGCCTGCATTGATGAGCGAACAGGGCAAGGCCGTTCAAATCTAAACCGGCGGATAAAAAAAGCGATATTATTTTAAAAGAAAATATGTCAACGTATGGGTTGTTACGTACAGTTTGGCTATTTTAATCTAACTATTTCCGTAAGGGGTAAATTATACGAGAAAGAGCAGAATCACATAAATAATAAATTTAGACTAATTACCATATTTTTTTATATGAGTATTATTTTTTAATTAACAACTTAGGACAAAGAAAAAGCTTGCATGGTTTCCACCGCCAACAGGCGTTAAAACAAATGAATCCAAGGCGTTGTCAAATATTTATTGGGATAAGTTGATAAGTTTTTACCGTTTGAATATTGTTGTAAATAATAATGTTATGTTACAAAGTTCACAACACGGCAAAATTTCAATAAAATCGGCCAACGGATCTTTGAGATATTAATAAAAAATGTCTATTAGGAAACATCTTGACACCCTGTATCTTTAAAATTATGCATTTCCGGACACATGTTTAAATTAACATTTTACCTTAAAAACACTCAAAGAATCACCTCCTAAAGTTGGCCAGATACTACTTAATTAACACTCTGTATTTAAAAATGGCTAGCTAGTGATTTTGTAAGTAAAGCTATGTTTATTTTAATAGAAAAAAAAAATTCATAAAAAATAAACAAACCACTATACACTAATTAATTAACTTTAAATGTATCTAAATAGGCACTTTAATAATTGAAAAATGGACATGAGCACTTCATAGAGTATACCAAATATGTAAAAAAAAATTCCAATAAAAAATCCACAAATGGCACAATAAAATCTGCATTATCTGAAATCAAATTATAGGTACCTAAACGGCCAATCAGCCAGACAACAGTGACAAGACGCCGACATCGATAACGCGATGAGCAGTTTTTAATAATTATTCCGAGTTAATACTTCAAGTAGCATTCCTTTAAATAAATTTTAATTTAAGTATTGTTAATATAGTCATATTAATGATTATAGCCTGTATGATTTCTAAAATAAAAAATCAAGCGTGTTTTTATCAGAATAATTATTAAATGATTAAATAGAAATAGTTAATATTTATTAACTTCGTAAGTGTTACATTTTAATACCGTATGATCGAATAAAAACGGCGTGAAATGAAGATCGCTGTCATTTTATATGTGAAATTATATGGGAAATGTCATCGATCGTCATTTCCAAGCCAACTGGACGCCATTTTTTTCGATCATACGGTATAATTATGGATTTTATAATTAAATAATTATTTTAAGGTTAAATTGTGGTAAACTTGTTATGAGTTTCAATCATTTATATTTAAAATCTTAGAGAGGCAATATAGATTTTAGGCAGAAGAACTCAAGGGAAGGACTGTGTAATTAGAAATTAAAACTTTACATTCTTTTTACTTGCCATTTTTCTTGTCTTTCACGTTGCACGTTAACTCTTCGTTGTGTCACACACAATCTGAATTTCGGATATGATGCAGAACTGATAAATTAGACCAAATATATTAATTGCAGGTATACAAAGAAATATTTTTGTTAACTTTGCAAATACTCAAGGCATGCAATAATTAAAAAAAAAATTGACGTGAGGTTACTTCATAATTCTTGAAAGCCTTGGATGATAAAGATTTTAATTATTATGGGTCTGTTTTGTTTAAGAAGCTAATAAATAATTTCAAAAACTCAACTATCAAAATATAATGGTAGAATATGTTAATCGAACATACTGAATGTACTAGGTATACATAGTAGATACAATCGATAATATATTTTGCTGCTTATTTTACTCATAACAAAAAACCGTCAATACCGCTACTCACATTATGGGCACTTTTTTATACTTAAATCTTATAATGATTTTTAAAAATACATATATAGGTACATACTATAAGTAGTGGTTGTCACGGTTTTTTTATTAGGTATGATGAAAAGAAGCTGCAAACTAAATTGCCGTTGGAGCCAACTATATTTTAATTTATTTTTATCTACAGTAACTATGCACGGTAAGGGTTCAAAATATGTCTATACTGTGAGGCAACTCAATTCGAGTATAAATTAACACTTACACTCCAACTATCTTCTTGGTCTACCGGCACCCCGTTCACCATTATTCCATCATTTCTATAAAAATAGTATGATATATAACTTTTAATTTTTATTGAGAAAATTGTTGAAATTTTGTTGTACGGCGAATTTAAATTTATGGGCCCTCCATAAATTTACACCGTAAGACACCGTAAGTTCGAATATTAGTTAAACCTAGGAATACCCAGGTAATAGACGGAAATATGCAAAGAAGGGGCGAGTTAGGTTTTAGTTGGTTTTGAATTAATAAAAATATAGACCTAATCTTAACCTAAAACTTAACCGAAACTGACCCACTTTTTGATATATTTCGGGCTCCTACGTGGGCAACTCTACGTTTAACCAATATTCGGGCTTTTACGGTAACATAATACTCATTCTGATTGGTTTAATCTGGCTCCATAACAAAACTGTGGGTTCGAGGTGCTATTGCAAATTAATGCAATTAATTCTATGTATACACTTTCATAAAAAACCATCACAATAAAAATTAAATATCAAAATTATTTAACGTTGCGAACTTGTTCACTATACGTATCTGGAATATATTTGCGAATGGCGATCAGCAACACGATGGTGCGTCCATACCTATGGAGATGAGCGCGAGACATTCCAAATTCGCTGTGTGGACGAGTCTCGCGAGAGCCTCGCGAGTCAACCTACAGAGCCTCGTTGCTATCCCCTGTCGATTTTGTCCCCTGTCGATTTTTCAACGGCCGATCAAAGAAAGCTCGAAAGTCTGGACGTGTTTTTGGTAGGCTCGCCCGACTGCGAGATATTAGGTCTGATTTATAAATTTCGACTGTTTAAAATTAAGTAATCTCAAATTTTTAAATCGTACACTGTATGTATTATCATTTTTTCTGATAGAATTTACAAATTTTGCGTCACTGATAATTTTACCCTACCGAAATCCAACATTTCTTTAAACAAATAGAATTATTACAACATCTATTAATTTTAGATATATAATATCAAAAATGCAAGAAAAGTTACCGAATTGTACGTATGTATAACCCAATAATAAAATAAAAATAGGTATTCCCATTACAAAATATGTTATATCCGCAACACTTTTTTGAAGTACCCTGTATACTCTATAGTAATGTTAAAATGTGCTTCTTAACCTTACCAATAACTTTTCTATTTAACATTTTGTTCTAAAAACATCAAAAAACGTATTATGTAAAAAACGTCGTGTAAAGGATAAAGGGGAAAACAGCCAAAAGAGGGAAAACCGACGATGAATACCATGTTAAAGACCGAATACCATACTAAAGATACAAAAATTTATTACCGTATGCGTTATTATTTGGCCATCGTTTGTTATATTCAATTGCAATTTAATAAGTGTTTGGTTTCCTTTCACTATGATCCCACTCGGCTTGTCTCGTGGCAGGTTTGCATAAAAAATGGATAGTAAATGTCTCGTCTCGCTCTTGTCTGGCTCTCGTCACGCGCTCGGCTCGTCAGGTCCGGACGCACCATATACTGCCGGAGTGCTGACGTCACGAATGTCAAATTGTTTTTCAAACAAGGTTTAGTTCTTTTATATTTCTATTGAGCTCTTCCAAATGACGTCACAAATTAATATAAAATGTAAAAAAAACAGGTGATGCCGACAACCGCCGACTTGTGTCTGTTATTTTCAATACGCCTATGATGGTTGTGCATGTTGCAAAATCTGTGAATTTTTTATGGATGTGAGATGTGGACACGTAATAAGAAACGATAAATAAAATCGAAGCATTTGAAATGTGGACACACAGAAGAATGCTTAAAATATCCAGAACCAGAAATGAAGAACTTCTTCAAAGAATGAAGATGGAGCACGACAGATTACGTCTGAATATTATCAAACGACGAAAACTTGAATACCTTGGCCATATAACCAAAGGCCACAGGACCTCGATATAAGTTTCTCCGACTGATACTTAACGGCAAAATCGAAGGAAAGAAGTGGATTAGGCGCAAGAGGCTTTCGTGGTTGAGGAACTTGCGGCAATGGACTGGCTTGAGCGCAGATGAATGACTCCATGTAATGCAAGATCGAGAGAGATACAGAGACATTGTTAACATGGCAGTCGTCAACGTTCACGAGGAACATGACACTTGAAGAAGAGATGTTGAACCTTTTAAAATTAATGACACTTGAAGAAGAATGTTGAACCTTTTAAAATTAATTTTAAATTGTAACTTTAGAACGTATATAATAAATGACCAAGCACTAAAGCAACGATCCCATCACTCACAATTTCTAAAAATCGAATCGTGTGGTTGTAATACTCTGTGTTGTATGAGGGGAATAAGCCTGGGTTGTTAACCCTGTATATGTTCAATTAAGAAACTCCAATATTTTCGTATATTTGGAACAACTTAAGTGCTAAAAACACAACGTTAAATTTTGACTAATATTCTTAACAATTCCGAAAATTTCAACATGCCATTTTTAAATATTTGAACTATAATAATACCCAGCGTGGATGACATACATAACCGCCTAAAATTATAATAAATGATATCGTCATTAGTTTAATGACGTAGAAATTTCAAGAAAAAATTTCATATAATCCTATCTTAATTAAACTTGTTTTGGTAGTGAGTTTTTGCATTATACTAATTAAATATTCGTGGCAATACTCAATGAACGTTTATTTATTTACTAATTAAATAGACTAAACACGTATAAAAGAATTAAAATTAATATTTGTATCTTACTTATCGAAATTTCCAAGGACCAGTTGTAATGTAAATGGTCCAATTGTGAATAATATGTTAAGAATAATTAACAATAACATAACCAGTTTAAATCGTTTCTTGATTAGAATAGCCACAGGAATACATATTATCGGAGATATGAAAAATAGTTGAAAATCTGCTGAAAGGTACCAGGTATGCAAAAGGCACTAAAAATAACAAACAATTTTTTTTAAAATTACCTACCATTTTTGTCCATTATGTAATTTTTATTATTATTTTATTAAAAAATTATAAATCATATCACTAAGGGAATTCATTAATTTATTAATAATGGATAGAACTATAAATTTTTAAATATTAAAAATAAATGACCAAGCACTAATTTATTTACATCTTAGTACTTACCACTTCATTATAGTTCACATAGTTTTGCGTATATAAAAAATACGACCACCAATAGTGACGGCAATTTTCTTGTTCTGTTTCCAGATACATATTATATAATGGACCTGTGCCCAGGTGCTGATATACTCCCATCAGTAACAAAAAAATTACCGCTACAGCCGGAGTTAATCTAAAAAAATATTTAAATTACAAATGTAAAGTTGATTAAATATTTCGAAGGAATTTAAAAATCACACTGGCTAAACAACCGCCAGCCGGCGGTATTGCTAGTTTATATGATAAAATACCATCAATCGGTGATATTAGATTTCTGTATATCTAAACGCGGATGGAAAGTTCATTTTGAATATCAAATACCGCCGAAATGATAACATAGCGCCATATCTTTGCATTTGATTTGAATTGAGCTGTTGTTGGTATTTAATAATTATTTATTAAAGGTTCAGTTTTATTATCAAAATATTCAAAGGAATCAGATGCGCATTAATGGAACAGAGAAAAACGAAAAAAAGCAAAAGAGTGAAACCAAAGCAATTTGATTTCTAGAGCTATAGCTAGACTTAGATTAATACCTTTAGGGTCCACCGTCCGCCAAATCAGTTTCTGTTTTGAGTGAGAAACCGCTGGAAAGAGCATTACAGCCATATCCTTAAGCAAGAAAACAATCCCAATATAGAACCACTAAACACAATACCTCAGTATAACAGCCTCGATGTATCAGATATATCCCAATAACAGAACAGGAAATAGATGCCTCCATAAAATAGCTTAAAAACAACAAATCAGCGGGATGTGACGCGATTCCGCCGGAAATCTATAAGTGTACAAGTAAAGAACTTATTGCTCATCTTAAGGCTCTCTTTGATGTCATATTGTAAAGCGGAGAGGTACCTCAGGACTTTTGCAACGCGAATATAGTGAATATATTTAAGAACAAAAGAAGTGCATCAGGCTGCTGAAATTACCTGGGAATTTCACTATTGGCTATCGGAGGAAAAATTCTTGCAAAAATTATGTCAAACCGCCTGCACCCATATATAGAAAAAATCATTCCAGAATCGCAAACGGGTTTTTGCACCAACCGCGGCACCATCCATTCCCTATTTTCCATCCGCCAACTACAGGAAAAAGTAAAAGAGCAGCAGTCTAAACTTTATGTTGCATTCGTCGACCTAACAAAAGCCTTCGACTCTGTGAACAGGGATGCACTTTGGACAATTATGAAAAAGTTCGGGGTACCCAACAAATTTCTTAGAGTGTGTAAAAGGCTCCATAACAACAAGTCAAGAGTGTCACATCATGGATCACTGAGCGATCCCTTCCTAATAAATATAGGAGTTAGGCAACGATGTGTCTTAACGCCTCTCCTATTCAACATATTCATGGCAGCGCTCTCCATTATAGACAGCAAACTGCAGGAGAGAGCATTGGGTATTAGATACAGATACGACGGTGGTCTGTTCAACATAAAAAGACTCAGTGCAAAAACGCGTACAAAATTCATCACAGAACTTCAATACGCTGATGATTGCGCTCTAGTTGCAAAAACGTTGCATAAAATACAAGAAATGTTGAACACATATATACCTGGGCATACGAGGCTTGGGGTCTTAAGTTAAACATCGAGAATACTAAAATAATGTGCACTCCCCCAGAAGATCACAACATGCTATAAAAAACTGAGAAGAACTATTGAAATATGTAGCGGAATTCAATTACCTCGGCAGTTTGATTTCGGAAAAGGCCAATATCGACTCTGAAATTCAGCACAGGATTAGCAGCGCCTCAAGAGCGATCTGGAAATTAAAAGACAGGGTTTTCTACAACCATGACAATAATAGCCCTATTCGCAATAATAATCCCCACCCTGTTGTATGGCAGCGAAACCTGGGTGTCATGCCGTACCGCTGAAACATGAACGCATTAAACAAGTTGCAACAGAAAATCTTAAGAATCAAATAGTTCCACCATGTCTCAAACGTATCGGTCCTTGAAAAAGCTAACTGCGAGAGTATTGTGACATGGCTACAAAATCCCGCTTAAGATGGGCTGGTCACGCAGAATGTGAGAAAACCGCATACCAAAATCTCTGCTTTACGGTGAGCTTGTAGACGGTAAGAGGAGGCCGGAGGCCGGATGGACAACTCGAAAGGTACAAGGACTCCGCGGCAGGATTTCCACGAAAACCTAAAGGGAATTAACATGCAAAATGAGTGAGAAAAAGCAGCTCACAATGGAACGGAATGGAGAAGAATTGTAAACTCGCTTTTAAAGTACGATATATGATATGAGAGATATATGAGAAATGTAGTTAACAACGACAACAAAAAGTAAAGAGGCAACAAAGCAACGATATTTTTATATATCCGGAGTGCGGTAGGCAGATAACATCACGTATCGGGCCTTTCAGTCACAGAAAAGCTCTTGAAGCGCCTTCCGTGACCATCTTCTGATGCGTGTCAAATACTCGTCAGCGAGTAATGGCAGTATGCATGTATGTTTTGAGTATTTCCAATCTGACGAACTAATTTCGAACTGATAACATAACCTTGCCTGCTTATTTTGCATCTAACATGTCAAAAATATTTATTTTTGTATGCAATAAAATGTTGTTTTATTTTTACAACATTACCTGATCGCGGAACTTAACCAATACTTAAAAACAATAACTTGTATTTACTAAGAGTGAGTCCCAGGGGGGACCTGGAACTTGCTGTTACTAGGCACTATTTTAAACTGATTGAAGAATAATAACTTAGCTAATACAACAATTTTGTGTCTACAACAACAATGTGCTTACAAAAATCTAACTACAATCTGTGGTGCAATATGTTATAGTTTTTTCTTTTTATATGTTTTTTTAGCGTAGAAATGAAACGGAAAAAAGTTACGATAATATTCTGAGGTTATTCCCAAAACTTCTTTTTTTTTGCTTTGGAGTCCGCACGTTCATTTCCATCTAGGCCGACATGAAGGCCCGATATCGATATTAGTGACACTTTGTTCCTATCTCCTAATAAATTGAGTACTTTTCTACAATGAAAAATTGTCATAGAGGTGCTTTTCTTTGCCTCAAGAGCTGTCAACACGGCTTCACTATTCGAAAATGTGCTTATTGTTTTATATACGACATAACAACAATACCGTTCTACCAGCAATAAGTTACACAATAACGAATTCTTTATATACAGGGTCACTGTTATGTATGGTAACGGTCGATTATTAGGTATAATATTATATAAGATTATGATTATTGTTAGTTCCCAGTAGTTAATATGCACATAAAAAAATCGTGGGTGTTTGGGAAGGCTTGAAAGGAAACAATGTTTTTGTGGTGCGAGGTTTCGCGACTTTATTGTCGCTTCTTCAGGCACTATAGGAGAAGCAGTTTTTTAAAAAATATCAAAATAAGATTAACTGACCACTTACCCAAAACATATATTAATCCACATTATGCCTACAAACATTCATGGCGACTCCAACCGCCAACACTAAAACACATACAGACGAATCGAACAGAAACTTGACAGGTATTCTTTGGCTCGATATACACCGATGCTCGGTTTGTGTCGTACTGACACCAGTTAAATTAATCTCGGTACCAAAAAAGATTGATTTTTTGTGTTTCCTTTATCATTAATTTCTCTCTCGTTGCTCTTAAGAGCCCTAGTCAATTCCCTATATGTGCAGGCCGGTTGGCATCGCCATAAACAAACAAACGGAATCACAATGTGGACCCGATAGTAATCAAAATTAAATAATTTTTTAAAATTATTTGTCAACAGATAAAAGATACAAGACTAAAAAAATATTAAAAATTAAAGAAACATAATATAAAAGAAGCAAAAATTTTCGTTTAGTTAAAATCGAATGAAAACTAAAATAAATAATACATTGAGTACACAAGTATTGTATAAACAAAATAATTAACTTTAGTTAATAGTCTGACCTATGTAACAACTGCTTTTATTAAATAGTCTGACCTAAGTTAGAACTGCCGCAAGAACAAGGAATGCTCTAAATTAAGTTGGATCAAAATCAAAAGAAACGAGTTTATAATTGCGAGGAATAGTTATAGAATATGAAAAACTTACAAACTCAAATGAGTTTTTTATATTGTAATTAAAGGTGGTAGTGACTTGGTATAATATCGAGTGCAAAAAAGTAGCTATATTGTAACACAGTGTATTTATGCAGCTTACAATCGGTCTAAGACAAAAATTTGTTTTGTGTGTCTTTCTCAAGCAATCTTAGGTGCTGTGGCATTATGAATTTTAATTCTCCTCTCTTCACCTTCACTTATACAATTTAAGTCTCTCAGTAACTTAACAAATTCATTTGCCCTCTCTTGGAATCTTCTGGTCGGATGGGTTTTAATTATCTTATATGTAGTTTCGTCACTGAGCATTTCTAGTAGCTTGTCGTCATATAGATCCCGATTCATCACAACCGTAGAATTTCCCTTATCCGATCTTCCAACTAGTATGTTTGGGTTTTCCCTTAGAAACCTTTGTGTAAATTTGACATCTTTCAAAATATTTCCGTGTGTTCTTGGAGTTCTGTAGTTGCTATAAAAATTTGTGAGGATGTTAGTTGTCTGGCCACGTATCGCGTTTTTCTCGTCCTCAGGTATTGCTTGGCTTTCGATTCAGTATTCCAAATCTTTGATGAGGGTTGGTATAGGAATCTCCGCTGGGGTAAGAGGGAGGTCAAACTTTGGACCAAGGGACAGAGTTCTTTCTACTTCCACCGGAAGGGCGATTGACGTGTAATTATACAGGTACTTATCATTAGTATGCTTGATGTAATTAGCAGTTTCTCTGAGTAAGAGTTCCATTTTCTTCATGTTGGTCTGTTTCACAGTTTCAAACATTCTATTAAACCAAATATTATTAACATTGGCAGTGTTGAAGAAAATTTCATCAGGTATTAAGGCTCTTAATTCCATCATGTGTTTCTGTATATCGTTCTGTAGTTGTTTACACTTCCAAATAGTAATGTCAATTTCCGTGTTTAATATCGCTTTTTTAAAATTATTAGCGATTTTATCTACCTTTTTCAAGAAAGGGTGTTTATCCACCTGTAAACTATATATGCATTTAATATTTTTGGTAATGTGTGCAGGAAATATTCCCTTGTGTCTACACTGTAAAAGAAAAACTTTTCTATTCTTTAAAGAAGCCAGTTTAATGGTGTTATTCGACCACATGTTTATCAAATTTACTGCTCTATCTCCGTATGCTGTTCTAATGTTTACAAAAAAACCCATGTTGTATTCCATTATGATTATTGTTAGTTCCCAGTAGTTAAAGTTAATGCAGATAAAAAAATCATGGGTGTTTGGGAAGGCTTGAAAGAAAACAATGTTTTTGTGGTCCGAGGTTTCGCGACTTTATTGTCGCTTCTTCAGGCACTATAGGAGAAGCAGTTTTATAAAAAATATCAAAATAAGATTAACTGACCACTTACCTAAAACATATATTAATCCACATTATGCCTACAAACATTCATGGCGATTCCAACCGCCAACACTAAGACACATACAGACGAATCGAACAGAAACTTGACAGGTATTCTTTGGTCCGATATACACCGATGCTCGGTTTGTGTCGTACTGACACCAGTTAAATTAATCGCGGTACCAAAAAAGATTGATTGTTTGTGTTTCCTTTATCATTAATTTCTCTCTCGTTGCTCTTAAGAGCCCTAGTGAATCCCCTATATGTGCAGGCCGGTTGGCATCGCCATAAACAAACAAACGGAATCACAATGTGGACCCTTGTGGATTTCCTTTTATTGATAACCTTTCACATAAAATAAATCGATGCTTTAATAACACTAACACTAAATTAGCATTTTATAATTCAAAAACGACATCGTTCTTGTATACTAAGATCAAAGATCCCAACTCCGTTGCTAAAACAATCCAACTTAATTTACAGCATTCGTTGTTCTTGCGGCAGTTGTTACATAGGTCAGACTAAGCAATATTTAGGTAATAGGATTAATCAACATAGAAATGATTGCAATACTCGGAACAAATCTAAAAAGGATAAAACTGCTTTGGCCTCACACCATTTTGATACTGGACATGAATTTTATTTTGATGATGTTATGGTTCTCGAGAGAGAACCAAACTGGTATAAACGCAACATAGGCGAAATGATTCATATTAATTTGAACAAAACGGTCAACATGAGGTCTGATACCCAGGGTCTCAGTGTAATATATAGCAACATTTTAAATAAGTACAAGAAAATTAATGAAAGAAGAAAGGTTTAACCATGCAGGGTTTTCTTGTTTTTTTTTTGAGTGTGTTGAGGGTGCTTTCGGGTGTGAACATTTTGTGTGTTTTTCTTTAAAGCTCTCTTACTTTTTCCGTCGCGATTGTGTGTTTCTTCCTTGTACAGAGTTATTGTTATGGCAATATTGTCAGTATTGATATTGCCACATTGAAGTTTTGTGGTTGTTTTATCTACACCTGTTAATTATTTTGTTTATACAATATACCTACTTGTGTACTCAATGTATTATTTATTTTAGTTTTCATTACCGAGATTAATTTAACTGGTGTCAGTACGACACAAACCGAGCATCGGTGTATATCGGGCCAAAGAATACCTGTCAAGTTTCTGTTCGATTCGTCTGTATGTGTCTTAGTGTTGGCGGTTAGAGTCGCCACGAATGTTTGTAGGCATAATGTGGATTAATACATGTTTTGAGTAAGTGGTCAGTTAATCTTATTTTGATATTTTTTAAAAAACTGTTTCTCCTATAGTGCCTGAAGAAGCGACAATAAAGTCGCGAAACGTCGCAAAACTATCGTTTCCTTTCAAGCCTTCCCAAACACCCACGATTTTTTATCTGCATAATATATAAGGTACCGCAAAAAGTTAAATACAAAAATATAGGGTTTTTAAATGTATATTGGCGAGTAATAAATTTATGTATACAGGGTCGGTCATAAAGTCATGTCACATCAAAGTTTCATTTTTTTAAATAGAACCCCCTGTATATTCTCGCATATTTCAATTCTTTCTTCAATTCTACGCACAAATCGAAATACACACAATGTACCTCAAATCAACCGTTTTCGAGTTATTGACTTTTGGACATATCAACAATTTGATTTAATTAATTTGGATATGTTCAGTTTCATTTAATGATGCCATTCTGCCGAAACTGTGATACTGTTGTAATGTGTTTTTCAACCATATTTCGACGAGCCGAAGAGGGCACCCTAGTCATCTTATAGCGATAAAACAGACAAATGATCGCCAACGTGCGGCATAGCACATGGCACCCAAAGAAGAAGAAGATTAGCTACTAGTAAATTTAAGTTTACAGGGTCGGTCATAAAGTTGTGGCCACATCAAACTTTTTTTTTAATAAAAACCCCTATATATTATTGGACATTAAGCATATTTCAATTCTTCCTTCAATTTTAAGCAATAATCGTACATTGTGTATGTAGATAATTTGAAGAATTGAAATATTAAACGAAAATTTTATAATTTCCAGACTTAATATAATCTCATTTTATACATCTATAATAGCTAAATTAAGAACTAATGTCAAATATTATTAACTATCACAGTTTCGGCAGAATGGCATCGTTAAATGAAACTGAACATATCGAAATTAATTATATCAAATTGTCTAAGTGATACTTTCAAAAGTCAATAACTCGGAAACGGTTGGTTTGAGGTACATTATGTGTATTTTGATTTTTGCTTAGAATTGAAGGAAGAATTGAAATATGCAATCATATACAGGGGGTTCTATTTAAAAAAAATAAACTTTTATCTGCCATGACTTTATGATCGATCCTGTATATGTAAATTTTATTACTCGCTAATAGACATTTAAAAATCCTATATAAGTTTTGTATTTAACTTTTTGCGGTACCTCCTGTTATTATGATATATTTATAACAGCAACCCTGTTATGCTATTATTTATATAATAATAATAGTATATAGCGTTTAACGCCTTGGGAGTAGCAAGGTACAGCTTGCCATACTAGAGCTGGTATACAAGGAAGGTAATGTGGCTAGCACTACGCTTCAACCGCCTATTATTACTTCAGGATTGTGAATCCCAAGTACTCATTTAAGGCTGAGTCGACCTAGGTACCCAAACTATTTTTATTTTAATAAAAATAGTCGGCTGATGAAATGCCGGGTGTGGGAATTGAACCCACTACCTTCAGATTAGTAGACGAAAGCCTGTACCTCTACGCCACCGGGCACCTTATATATTATTTATTATTTAGCAAATATCGCCATACTTCTACCTTGTATGACGGTATACATGTTAATAAATATGTAAACCCGCGTCGTTAGACGGTTTTATAAATATCGCCCTTAAGGTATTTTTCGTCAAGAGTCTATACGGACGGCGATAATTTAGCCAGTTTGTTTAAAAAAATAAATATTCCAAAAACATTTTCTAAGGTATAAAATTCTTACCTCAAATACCTATGTAGAAATAACATCGGCAAGTTAATCAAATGTTCTTTAAGAGGCTTACATTTTTGTTTGAGATATTGGTAAGCCAACAAAAAGCCCGAAATATAGAAAAATGTATCAACTGCCAGATGGGCTGTAGTAATATAAAATGATCTCCACGTCCACTCCATCTAGAAAAAATATAAATAAATTAATACTATTATTAATAATATTTTGGTAATTATTTTACGTGAAACCACTAATAAAAAAGGAACCAAAAATTCAGTATATAGAAGCTCCCATAAACATAAAATCGTAAAAAAATTCTCTGCGGATATGCATATTTTTATCCGACTTTAGAATAACTGAAGTCAATTACGTGAAAACGCCGGTCTTGCTTCACAAAAACTTTTCTATACACAAAAAGTTTCTTGCGTGAATATGTCATTTTCATCTTGAAATAAAATAATAATTATATAAATACTCGTTTCTTTTACATTGTAAACGTTCTTCGAAACATAAAAACGCAAGAAATTCTTTGCGGAGATTTATGATTTTTATTTTTAAAAAGATTATAGTGACATACATGTAGTACATACAGTATTACAGCATAGTGATATAGTATAGTGAAGCTTTAAGAGTCCATTTCACCAGTCCGAAAAAGTAGCAAAATAAGCATTCCGCATTTAACGTTTTATGTAAAACTGGCTAGATATTTTTACTCAAATGAAGAAGGAAATTAAAGATAAAGGATTAAAGGTACTATATAAATAAAGGATACGCCAAAATTATAATGAAAGAAGCGATAGCCTCTAAAAGAAAAATAAAAGAGGCTTTTTTAATTCAATCTAATAAAAATAAATGTATTGCTCATGCATCTGTAGATGTTAGTAATGTATGGCAATCGCTTCTTTGATTTTAAAGAACATAACATAAATAAACATAACATACGTAAAATTTAAAAATAATCATACGGAAAGTTTAGGGCTTTTTGGTTTTACCTTATTAAGTATTTTTTATCAGGTAGTAATTGTTAATTTTGAAGTTTAACTTGATATAATGTCATTTTAACAGAACGTCAACGGTTTCTTTTAGATGTATCTGTTAAAAAAGTAAAGTGTTCTCGAATAGTTGAATTTAAACAATTTAAATAGTTTTTTTGCTTCCGACGATGCGCGACAGAAAGAGATAAACTTACCGAAACGTTAAGCATTTTTTTCTTTGTTAGGCAAATTTGTTTAACTGTAAACATAACTTCTGACAAGTAGTATTTTCTTGCAGTGCAGTGGCGAAATACCCATATAGGATTTTTTTGGAGAGATGAATTCGCCACATAGGTATAGACATTTTTTAAAGGATTATACTATATCCGTATTGTAGCACATTTTTAGACAACTTCTTTATTTTTAAGATTTTGATGATAAGAACATAAGGAATATTTTGTTGATGTTTGGACTAAATTTTCTCTAAAATAAAGCCATAATTTAAAATTCTATTACAATAGCGAAATAGATTGAAGTTTTGTGATTCCACTGATATATAATTTATATGGTTTTGTAACAAATTGCTGGCTATTTTATGGCAAATGCTGAAGCTCTGCAAACCTTAATCAAGCCTTAATCAAAGCACGGGTGTATGGAATTTTGAGTGTGGCTTGACACGACAGGATCGGGCTAACTCTTAGGCAGATTTCTGAAATATATAATATATATTTCCTTCGGCCACACACCCGCTTTGCCCTACCCCTGAGCATAGTATAAGGAAACTAGTAGTTTTACTCCTTGTCAAATCCTTTGTTCTTTTTCTGCCACTTTATATGACCTTGTTCTCGCCTCCCGTGACCACTGACGTAGCTGTATAGTCGTGGTCTATTAACTAGGCAAAGTATAGTCGTGGCATTCGCCATAGTTTCACAGATATGTATTTAGGAAAATATGAGTTTACAATAAAATAAAATAAAAAAAAATTGATCATCGAGTCAAAACATGCTTGGACACAGAATATTTTTACATTTCGTGTAGGTAACAATTCTTCTGTATCTGAAAATCTTCTGATGGGAAGAAATGCGGAAAAAATATATAATGACATATTTTTATATTATTATCTATTTCAGAGATTTTCTACAACTTTTTTTTGATTTAAAACAAGTTTAATTTTCTGTAGATAACTGGATTTGGCATAAAATTCTGCATATAGTACACTGTCTTTATTTAAAGCACACTGCGGTGTTGCCATTCTATTTCATATTTACTAAAACTTTGGTTAAAAATATTATAGACGAAAAGTGGTAAAAAAACTAGAGTGAATATAACTTTATTAATACTTAGCTATGTTTTCTTAAACATGAAGGATATCGGAATAAATTCGTGTAGATAAATTTACTTTATCGTATACAGGATATTTTTTATGGCGTCACCAAAATCGTAATATTTTAATGTTTTATCTCTAACCTAACCTTCACCATAACTTTTTTTGTGACACCCTGTATATAACAAAATATTTTAGGATACGCCCCTTTATAAACCTTGAAACATATGAATAAAACTTTTTTCACATCTTCGACAACGACGATGATATTGGATTTCCTCGCAATAATGGGCCACCCTGTATATTTACGTTGCGGTGGTTTAAAGCTAGGTGTGGCACTTTTCTTTTTTCAAATATAAACTCAATATTTCGTCTATAATATTTTGAATATTGTTATATTATGACCACTTATAATAAATAATAAATAAAAAGAAGCACAAAAAATACAGTCCACTAAATTTATAAGAGATATGCTATTACGAGTATAAAATTCTTTCAATTAAAAAACATGAATAATTTGCGGAGACTTTAGATGTACAAAATATTTACTCTAAAATTATTTCAAAAACCAATCTATATAAATTATCTCGTAAATTATTATTGGAATGAAAATTTTATGGCAAATCCCCTGACCAAAAAATATTTTCATGCGCTTATTTGAGAAAACCTGTATATCTAAAAAACTATTTTTAAAATCTACCCACGTGCTAAAAAAATAATAACATTTAATTAATTACATACTATTTCAGCTTCTAATATAACAAATATAATTAAATGTTAATTGATAATTACTATCAGCTTGCCGATTTACATCCGATGGAAATCTAAAAAAACTCATAGAACAATTTTTTGAATTATTACTACAATTAATAGCAGCACACAGTAAGGCACTCATTTTTTGTCAATCCGTCTCTGTGCTGCGACGCCGAACCTCGCAGCTCGACAGACGGAATTCAACTGAAACGCTTTGCAATCTGCCGATATTCGCCAGATTGCAAAAACTGGCAGAAAATATTTGCGGGAGTGACCTGGAGACTGACCCGAACATTACAGCGTAATGGACTCTTAAGAAATATTAATAAAAATTTAGAAATGAGAATGAAAATGTAGAAACCATAGTAATCAAATCCGTATTAAAATTAAGAAAAAAAACAGAATTGCAAGAAAAAAGTTTAAAACCCAAAGCAATCTAATTCGTATTAAAATTTAGAACAAAATTCAGAATTACAACAAAAAAAACTTTAAACCAAAGCAATTTAATTCGTATTAAATTAAAAGAAAAACAGAATAAAAAAACAAAAAAAAATAAATCAACACACTGACTAAACAATATAGTGTATACAAAAAAACAGCCATCCGACGGCATAATATTTATATGTATATCTGTAAATACCGGTGGAAGACTGAATTTGTTGTATGAACTTAACCTGGTAGGTAAATATCCTCCTAGAGCATCGTCATCGGTTTGGAGGTGAATAGGCCTAACCCACAAATTTTCAAAAAGTGGGTTATTCCATTAATGATACTTTAAAACATTATATTTTATTATGGTCAATAGGTCAAACTGATAATACAATCCGTTAACGAGTAATTTGACATTTGCTAACAGTATCATGCCACATCCCGTTATGGTAACAAGGGCTAAGTGACTTACTATTCACTACTACATAAATTAATGTGGGTTAGGCAAATTCAGCTCCAAGCCGACGATTTTAAACATCAAATACCGTACTGAGAAAAACAAAAAAAACAAACGAGTGAAACCAAAGCCATCTAAAATTGTACAGGGTGGGTCAACTTCAACGCCTTTAAAGGGAAACACTATTTTCTATAGTAGATAGACGAAAACTAATATCGGTGTCTGACGCTCAATTTTTATCAAAAACATGATGGTGAAAATCGCACATCGATATCTGTTATCGTTCCGGAGTTACAGGGTGTTTTTCGAAAATATGAATTTTTAAAAAATCGCTGTAACTTTTTTGCTATAGAAAATTTTGTATTTTTATGAAAACATTTCCAAAGCACCTTTTTACGTAGAATTTAATGGGTTAAGTATCATTTTTCTAAAATTAATAATTGAGTTATCAACAGGGAAATCTATTTTTTATATGGGACACCCTGTATATTTTTAATTTTTTGAAAAGAATTTAAACTTACCTTTCTAAAAATATAGCATACTGGATATTTTGCTCGAGTTCTCTTCCAAAAAGATAATTTTTAAAAGTTCGCCCACTTGGAATAAGTAGACTTTGGACGGCGCCAAAAAAACGCCAAACTACCATATAATGCAAAGAACAAATGCTTACCGGTAGCTAGTAATTAAAAAAAACAAATACATACAATAAAATGTGGTCAATTTTATAACAAATTAAACTATATTTAACAACAAAAAACACACATTTAAACTAAAAACAATAATAATAAATAACAAACCAGAATAATAATGAGTACTTTTCCTACAAGAGGTGTTCGAAATGTCGAACACCTGTCTCTGATGCACAGACGACACCGTTTCTGGATATTTCTGGCGGAATTCATTAACTCAGTAGGGGTGAGAGATGCAAATCCACGCATAACCGCTAGTTCTAATTCTTGTCGGAAGTATACGGGTGATTTAAAAATAATATCCTTTAATTTTCCCCAAAGATAAAAATCCATGGGTGTTAAGTCCGGCGATCTCGCCGGTCAGCGGTTGGGACCTTGGTTAGCTATCCAATTATTCCCGAAGTTGGCTGTTAAAAACTTGTTGATAATTTCAGCGTTGTGAGGCGGTGCCCCGTCTTGTTGAAAAAATATGTCCCTGAGTTCCATTAGTGGAAGATCATCAATAAAGGGTTCTATTTGTTGCCCTAACAATTGCAAATATCTCTGAGAGGTCAGAGTGCCATTATAAATCAATGGTCCAATGATCCTACCTCTAAAAACACCAGCCCACACACAAAATCCAAATCTTCCTCGATTTCTCCGCTCCACTACTACTGCATTAGGGTTTTGGTATGTCCAGGTATAGGAGTTATACCGATTAAAAATACCTGCACTGCATATGGTTTATCTGTCCAAATACATTTTAATGGAAAACCGAGTACTTGGTTACATTTTTCTAGAAACCACTGGCAAAAATTTATTCGACGTTCAAAATCTCCGGGTCTAAGATGATGCACTTTTCTGGTCCTGTATGCTTTAAATCTGTGTTTTTTTAAAGTTCGTCTAACATTACTTCTTGTCAGTCCTGCTAGTGTATTTAACTTTCGTGTTGACGTTTTGGGATTATTTTCAATGGATCATAAAACCACGATTACTTCTAACTCCCTATCCCTGTTTGATTCATACTGTTTTACCCTGTTTTTCCTAAACTGACCATTATTGATTAGGTTGTACCGCAATCTACCGAAATCGTTTTTACAATCTGTTCTTAAAAGGTAGCATTCTCTCTGGATATCGGTCGTAATACAAATAGCTTGCTGCCCCTGCATTCTCCCCGGCTCGGCTTGTATATAACAGACTCAATACAGATCATATCCCATTTTTCGTAATTTGCAAATTTCGTTTTAAATTTATATAATAGATTAAACTAAAATTCAGTGTATTTATGCTAAAATCACAATTTGACAACTGTCAATACTTATTACAGTGGAGGGTTGGAATCTTTGGTGTCACACAGCAAAATAAAACACTAAATCACCAAAATACACCAAAACACTTAAACCATATTTTTTTGTTTAACTGTCAATACCATTTGTTTTCTGTATTATGGCGGAGCCGTCTAAAGCCTACTAGTTCAATCAGTATAATTGACAGAATAATTTACATATTACTTAAGAAATCATCAAAATCGACCTTGTAGAACAAAATATATTAAACTTTAAAATACATTAAAATGTTAAGGTGCGTTTTTCATATGGGTGAATGTATTATAACTTGTAGGTGATTATTTTTTGTCTTTATCATAAAAAAATTATTGTAAATTCGTCTTGTAATTATTTTTTTCATATGTTTCTTTGTTTAAACAGATTATGATAATTTATTTAAATATATGATGATATTTTGAATTATTTCGATATCATCGGGTTCAAAGATTCTCACGTTGTCATTTTGTCTACAAATTTATCTATTTTGTTATCTCTACTTGATGTAAGGTAAAGATTAAACTCAACACCAATTAAGTCAAACCATCCACTAAAAAGAAATTACTTATTTTGTTGATTTTTAATTCAGATATCAACATGAATAATTTTGGCGTCGAAATCCTTATCCATTTTTTCAGAAATGAACTCGCCAAAAGTTCAAAAAATACAAAATAATGACTTACCTGGTTAATAATATCTGCCTTTGTCGATGGTACTACATACATCATGGAAAAATGGTGCCCGCCAATTATCCACATCATGCTTATAACTTTTAATCCATTTATTACTACAATTTGATCTGTGGCGTTCTTAGATATTTTAAATAATCTCTTTCCGTTGGAATAAAAAGAAAATGCCTTGAGAAGTAAATAGTTATTATCTAAATAAATAAAAAAAGAACATTTAACAGTTAATTTTAATTAAAAAATAGTTAAGAAGCACATTATGTTTGTTATAAAATAGATCAGTTACCTTGTTCTTTATAGCCACAGTATATATCGTAAATTGTTGCGGCAAAAAGAAATAACAGAAAGAGGATTACAAATACTCTAAAAAACAAATTAAATTATAATTGGTGATACGTATGACGGCGACCGTTTTTCTTTTCGATCATACGGTATATAATATACATACATTATAGGATAATCACCAGGTTTCATTATTTTCCATGTGTCCTTAGTGGTACAGAATCGATCATTAATTAAACTCACATCAGGATCCATGCTTAAGAGCATTGATATATCTTTTGATGTACAGTGATTTGGAATACAGATTGACAACTTGTAAGCTTCCTAAAATATAACAGAATAACATTTTCTAGGATGGTTATATTATATAATGATAGAAGATAGAGGATAGAATAATTGAGAAATAGATACAGAGAGATAAACACTGCGACCTGTGAGGCTTATTGTATTTGACCCCTTTCTATGGCTGCACCCATTCTCCTATCCCTGTACCCCGCACGAATTTATGCAGATCCTTGATAGGATGGGAGCATAGTTCCTCCGGTTCTAGCCTAGCTTTCCCCAATGAAAAGTATCGCTTGCTATACAGGGTCTCGCAGCGACATATTATCTGCTCCGCTGTTTCAGGATTTTTATCGCAGAGTTTGCAACAAAGACTTCCTTGATACAGGTTGAGCTTGTTCAGATAACACTTGGCAACCGTATGTCCTGTCAAGAGACCTATTGTAATCCGCACTTTATTTCTGCTAAGAATTCTTATTCTTTTAAGCATTCCTTCAAGTCTCTAAGAAAAGTTCTTTTGTGGTTTTAGAGCTAAGTCCTTGGATAAACGCGTTGCTATGCCAGTGCCCCTGTCTGTTTCTCCAGTAGATATTTGGCTTTTTCCTGATCCAGAGTTTTAGTACACTACGGGCCATACATTTGGGTACTCCCAGTACTGGCTCTAGACCAAGATAGAATGTCGATGATCCTTGCCTAGCTAGCTCACCGGCTTTTTCGTTGCCTTGGATGCCGCTGTGGCCCTGCACTCAGAATAATTTAATTCTGTTCCATCAAGCTAGAGATCCCAGTTCACCCAGGTATTCCCAGACGAGTTTCGACGATACCTTTGGTCTCAAAAGCGCCGCCTGACTGAGCATATATTGAATAAGCTTTTCTGTTATTCCCTCTCGCACATTGTAGAATGGCGAAGATTTCTGTCTGGAATATGGTTGAGTATTTATCCAAGAAAAAGGATAAGCTTGCCCTTAGTCTTTTCCCAAACACTCCATCTCCTGTTCCTTCAACGGTCTTTGACCCGTTTGTATACCAGGTTAGTCCGTTCTGAAGAAATGTCGTAGTATCTGTCCAGATTCCTCGATCCTTTTATTCACCTCGAATGGTTTGTGGTAATGATAAAGAGAAGTCATTTGGTCCGATTTCATTTAGAGTAGAGGGCTCCCGACAGAATCCCCCATTTTTTTTTAGTGTCCTGTTTCTGTACTATTTCCCAGATACAACAAACTTTGTTGTCGACAAAGTGTGTTGTCACAAAAAACAAGAGTCCCATTCGTACCTCCGCCTGGATCACTCTGTGAAGAGGCGGAAAGTCCAGAAGTGCCTCCATTGTTGCAGTGTGCGTTGATTTCATCGCCCCTGATATGCTCAGACAAGCACCTGGGCACCTTGCTGAGGCTGAGCATTGTTGTTTGTTGCATTATCTTAGAGCCGTGCCAAAGATGCGTATGCTACTGAAGGCCTCACTATATAATAAATGATTAGTGAATACAATGATTAATGAAATTTCGAAAGAACTTATTGTTAATATATAAGAAGTTATTGTTAATATTGGTTATGCATTATGCATTAAATATGCCTATGAATAATGTTCAAAAAAATGTATGGATAAATATCTGAGTTAATTAAGCTGATAGCAATATAACATTCTAATGAAAATAAAAATTAATATATTTTAATTTAGTTTTAAATAAAAAAATGTGAACCTTAACTTTTGAATCAAGTTGTTACCTACTTCTATAACATTGGATGCATTCAAAGGAGTAGTTGGTATCAGTACAGCGGCAGCGCAATATTTACCAATTATCTTAAGTCCTTTTTCAGTCATGTCTAATTCGATACATTCATCAAAATTTCCCAAATCAAGTTTTGTTTCTACCAACATCCCAGCATATGGAAATTTTGAAGCTGCATCTACCACTATAATAAGAAAAAAAGAATCTTGAAATAAAAAAAATATATTTTTGTTTTATCTTGCCTATTGAACATTATATTTTTTAGTTATTGAATTTATATATAATACCAATAATACCGTTTTTATTAAATCCTATTAAATTTTACTTTGTATGAAGCCACTGGTGTAACGTTTTATTTTTCTTCGCACACAAATAAAGATAATAAAAAAACATATCACTAAAAATAAATTTAACTATTGCTTAAGTAATTTTCTTTGAATTGTGCATTGAGGTATGATTTGATTATTACCTTGTTTTTTCTTTCAATTTATCTAATTATGGTGGATTATACGGCTCCCCTCACCTTATGATTTTAGTCACAGTTTTTTTTTTAGTAGTTGTTTTTAATTTTTCAAATTTAACATACCATATTGGTTATCTGTGATTGAACAAATTTTGTGATAGATATAACTTTTTTGACTTTGTAAAATAAAATGTTTTGACTTTTTAACTTGTTTGTGATTGTATTTTAAATTTGACCTCTGTAATTGTTTTTAGCTTTGGGCCTGAAGATGGAAATATTTTAAATTCCCGAAACATGTCGCCCCCCTTGCTTTTTTAAGCATTAAAATTTTTTAAATTAAACAACTTATAGATTGTGAGTTATTGTCCTTTTACCCTCCTTCACAGGTTTGCTTTGAGATAATAATTAGATTTATTTTAGTACTCATGGCGTCATCTACTAGCTAAACGTCAAACTATTTATTTGTTTATTTTAATTTACTCTAACCTAATATTTTTTACGAATGGAGTAATTTAATTTTACTTCAAAAAAATACTTGATCGCAATGCCAATTTTTATTTCCTTTAAAAAAAAAGGAAGACTGTTTTTTTAAAAGCATGATTGTTTTCGAAGGAATTCCGATCTGAAAAGATGCATCATTAATAATATCTGCGTGAGTGCTTGAAGTTCTTCAAAAAAGCATCTACTTCCTTCGACAATTGAGTATTTGCTTGTTTAACCACTAATAGTAATAATACCTCTAGTAAATATTCTCTATTATTTTTGGTCTTTTTTGTGGTGTACTTTGTGGTTTCTTTTTTGGTAGATTCATATTGGATTATTGGTTTCATGATATAATTTGATTTAGTTTGTGCTTTTTGGTGTAGGCAGTTTTCAGTTCCAGTAAATATAGGCTTTTACTGTGAGCATTGTATACTGTAATTACTTATATAGTATTTGTTATTGGTCCCCGGGCCGTGATGATACCATCAGTTTTGTTTCTGTAATTCCATATCTATGCTATTTTGTCTTTTTTTCACCAAGGATACTATAGAGATAAATAAAATTATATAAAAATTCTTGCCACTTAACTGCTAATATAGAAATTTAATTCTACGCTGTGTTTGTCATAATGCGGATCAACCTGCTCTCACTACCGGTTTCGGAGCCTACTCCATCATCAGGTGAGCTTGGGAGATCCACAAAATGACTACCACAGCGCAGAGATAGTTAATTCCGACTTGTCGGAAAGTATCGGTTAGATATTAAGTCCCGAACGGGAGATAGCGGCCTGCGTGCAATGATAGTACTTTCGTACCACCGAGGCGCAACTATCGATAGTAAAAGGATGGTAAAAGGCTTTTTTTCAGGCAAGCCAAATTATAAAATAGAAAACAAATTTCTTGCAGTAAAGGTATATAATAAAATTATATAAAAATTCTTGCCACTTAACTGCTAATATAGAAATTTAATTCTACGCTGTGTTTGTCATAATGCGGATCAACCTGCTCTCACTACCGGTTTCGGAGCCCTACTCCATCATCAGGTGAGCTTGGGAGATCCACAAAATGACAACCACAGCGCAGAGATAGTTAATTCCGACTTGTCGGAAAGTATCGGTTAAATATTAAGGCCCGAACGGGAGATAGCGGCCTGCGTGCAATGGTAGTACTTTCGTACCACCGAGGCGCAACTATCGATAGTAAAAGGATGGTAAAAGGCTTTTTTTCAGGCAAGCCAAATTATTAAATAGAAAACAAATTTCTTGCAGTAGAGGTATATAATAAAATTATATAAGGGTTCTTGCCACTTAACTGCTAATATAGAAATTTAATTCTACGCTGTGTTTGTCATAATGCGGATCAACCTGCTCTCACTACCGGTTTCGGAGCCCTACTCCATCATCAGGTGAGCTTGGGAGATCCACAAAATGAGAGCAGTTTGAAGTGAGAGCAGGTTGATCCGCACTATGACAAACACAGCGTAGAATTAAATTTCTATATTACAGTGGCAGAAAAGCCCTGTTTATTGTATTATCTACCTGCAATTGCCTTTTCTATTTATAATTTGCCCAAAATCTATCGATCTTTTACCATCGATGGTTTATCTCCCGTTCGGGACTTAATATCTAACCGATACTTTCCGACAAGTCGGAATTAACTATCTCTGCGCTGTGGTTGTCATTTTGTGGATCTCCCAAGCTCACCTGATGATGGAGTAGGGCTCCGAAACCGGTAGTGAGAGCAGGTTGATCCGCATTATGACAAACATAGCGTAGAATTAAATTTCTATATTAGCAGTTAAGTGGCAAGAATTTTTATATAATTTTATTATATACCTCTACTGCAAGAAATTTGTTTTCTATTTTATAGAGATAAAGATAGTTCGATCCCTATACTGTCAGTTTTTTCACGCCATCTAGGGACCGAGCTGAACTTCGCGCTAAAGATTTTAGACAGTGACAGTTATTTTTGCATTTGACGAAAGAGAGCGCAGTGCGGTGGATGATAAGTCTAGCGCAACAAAACCGTTTTGTTAGAAATAAACCAAAAAATGTGTACTGATAAGAATAAATAGTAGACATTCCAATTGATATGAAAATGCATGAATTATTTTTTGGTCGTATATATTCTTTGTGTTTCGATACATTTTTATCAACCAAATTTGGTTGTTTTCTGCTCAGCTCTACCTTGCTGTCATACGAAAACAAAATATTTACAAGTGCTTATATACATTCCAAAACCAAATTATGTTGGAGATTTTTATTGGCTGTTAGAGAGATATTTGTTAAAATCCTTCGTGCCTTTGTTCCGCAGGTATAAAACATTCCCTTTTTTTTCAAATATCGATATATTGAATGATGTAGATCATTTGAGCTACCAATTGTTACCAACACAGGTAGTCACAGTCATAGGAAGTGTAAGCTTAATAGGTGAATGCCCAAAAGTTTCATTTCAATCGCATAGTAAAAAACGAAACAAAGACCCGTTAAAGGGTTAATTAAAGAGCATTCAAAAGAAGAATTGGGGTTTGCAAGAACTAGGCTAGTGAGAGTAAGGATGCTGCTGTAATTGTTGAAACCTTAACTGAAACTCCATGCAAAGGCACTGAGTTTTAAAAAAATTAATAGCTGCCCATACGCGGAAAGGCCCGGCCTTCGGACCTGTACTCAGAAAAAAAATGTATTTTAAAATGTACAATAAATCACGTTAAAATAATTAACTCGTTGTATGGAGTTCGATTTACCTAATTATTTGTTTTAATAACGATTGCTGATAATATAATATTGTTTTATATACATAATAAAAATTAAAGCATTCGAAATAAAGTGAATACTCTTTTATCGGATATCTAATATTTAGTCCTTTTAAAGTAATTATTACTCTATATGTTTCAAAAGAACCACGTTTAAAATAAACTGGCATTGCCTTATTATTTTTGAAAAATGTTGCTTTTATATTTATTATAATAAATTTATTTTAAGCACGAGAGTATTTTATTTCTATAAGAATTGCTAACATTTCTGTTAGGCTTTTGCCACGTGATTAATATTTGCCAATAGAAAGTCATGCATTTGACGTGGACATCGAAAGATGGTGTTTGGCGGTATTGACGGGATAAGCCCGATTAAGCCACACGTTGTTGTATGATTTTTGTCGCGTTCCATGATTTTGAATAGTACAATGATATTTATTGTATATGACAGTTGTTAGTGACAAAAAGGAGAATTGTATCGTTTACAGGTAATGTGTTGTTTAAGTAGTTGTTTAGAATGATCAACCGTTAATATTATTTCAGTACCATTATGGCGGCCAAAGGTTTTCTTGAAGAATGATGGAAACGACCGACGCCGGCCGAAATGATGCATTGTGATTTTGAATTTAACGCTGGACGAATTCAACAATTCAAATTTGCAAAGTAATATTTCACTAGATGATGAAAATTCAGATGTAAAGGAATACGAAGTCAAGCTAGCAAAATTATTAAAAAGGTGGAATTTACTACAACTCGTACCAGTATAAAAGGTAAAAAAATATATTGATGAACATTACAGAATGTACAGGGTGAGTCAACGATAGAGTAAGGTAAATATCTCCTTTGTTTTGAGATTTACAAAAAATGTTAAATATAAAAGTTATAGGGAGGGTTAAGATACATATTTTAAAATTATTGTAGAATATACAGAGTGCTTCAAAAAAGTGTTGCGGATATAAATTGTTAAATGCAACACCCTATTTTTTATTTTATTTTTTAAAATTCTACGTAAAATTCTATAACTTTTTATCTAATAATATTTTTTTATAATATACAGGGTCCGGCAGTAGTGCGTCGGGCATCTGTAGCTCCTAGAATAATAAACTTCACAATTTTGTTTAAGTTCAAACCTAAAGTATGTACGAGGATGTATTTCAGGAAAATATTTCAACTTCTATAGGGTGGCTCAAAAATGTGTAAGTGGATCGGTATGTTTTTTTTTAAATGGAACACTCTGTATATTATTGCATTTTTGGCTTCCTTTTGGACCTCTTTACATAATATATTATATATGAGTAAATATATTTCGATAATATCAGAGATATTAATAAATAAATAAAAAATATATTTTTTCCAACCTTCCTTATTTTTTTTTACTTTATGAAGCACCCAGTATATTCTACAATAATATATAAGATACTATATAATATAACAATACAAATAATATACAATACAAGAAAATATACAATAATACAAAAAAATATACA